TGAAGGGTGGCTCATGGACTGGACAGTGCCGTTCAGACTTTGCAGCGCGGCGACAGCGGGATTAGGGCTCGTCTGCCTCGCGGACTGTTCGCGGAAGCGGCGCTCATCAGCGATGGCGGCGGCTCCAGTGAGCGGCTGAGGCGAGAGTCGAGGCGACAGGCCGCCGGGAGACTTTGTGAGATGGGTGCCAAAGGTCGCTCCGCCGTTGGCATTGCGCGCGGTAGAACCTGGGGTGTTAGGCCCATTGTGGGTGGTGAATGGGCCGGTTGGCGTCGGCGTGATTGCTCGCGTCGAGGCAGCCATGGTGTAGAGCGGCGAGACGGTTCAATGAGCGTATCTTTGAGATGGGTCAGCATGGCTTCTCTCTTTCCAATGACAGCATGCGCGTCACCCGTCTCGACTATGCAGACGGAGTAGGTGCGCATGCATGGGTCGGCTAACCTTTGGGTGGATGCAGCCTCTGGTGAGGGCGCAGATGGCCGTCGTCTACCAACACTCCAGATAGACTTGGGCCGTGGAAAGCGCCAGCTTCGCAATTGACGGACGTTAGATTGCTCGCATGTGCCCTCGGTCGCAAATTGCGGCTCGGGCCAACCAAGGCGATCTGCTGGCTATTTTCCGAGCAGACGAGAACCACGGGACGCGCAAGCACGGCGGCGGCGCGAGGCAGGCGGGTGAAGAGGCGCTGCTCGAGGAAGCCGATAAATGAGGCGTGGCCGTGGAGGAGGGGTCTTCAGTCGGCACGATGTGCGACGTGCAGGCGGACGTGGGAGCAGAATCGCGATCCTGGACGTGGTGCAACTAAGCGGTCGCAGGGTCGTAGGGTGCAGGTCGTCTGGTAGTCAAGGTGCCGATGACGAGGGCCCGTTGGGGACTCTTGTGGCTGATGATGGTTCCAGTCCGGGCTAAGTAAGCAGGCGGGCGTGCGGGCGTGCGTGCGCTCGAAGACGGCGACGCTGGCAGACAGTCACGGGACTTGGGTGCGGCGGCGCTTCAGTCTCGAGCGGCTGCCGTGCAATGGAGCGCGCGATGGGTGCAGACACTTGGAGGAGACGAGAAGACAGTCCGGCGATGGGACTTGGGACTTCGGCAGCAGACAAGAGGTAGCCTCAGTGCAGCGCGGCGGCTTCAACGGAATAACGCAAGCCTTTTGGGGCTGTGTATCGCCGCGGCCAACCACGCTGCGCTGCAACGACCCACCGCCAAACATCCAAGACGTGCCTCTCCAAACAACTGCGTCGCAACACGAGACACGTCGACGCCACACGCTCCGCGAGACGAGGCTCGCCCTCCCTCCAGGAAGATTCTGCCATGGCGACTCCGCGACGGCGCGCGCACCTGAGCTGAGCCTGCCAATGCTCCCAGCCTGCGTCGGGCTAGACGCGACGAGCAGCATTGAGCCGGTGTGGTGGCGCAGCCCATCCTGCTCGCGCCTGCCTCTACCGCCGCTCGCTGCTTCCCCAAGCCTACCCGTTCTTGCCGACACACCAAACCAGCCGAGTGTTGCTCCAACGAGACACCTCGCCGCCAGCGCCCGCCGATCCATGACCTACAGGCTGAAGTCGTCTGCCAGCCTAGACTGCTGCGCTCGACTTTATTGCCGTCCTACCAACGGCGCCCCTCTGTTCAGCCACCGTGACATGCGTCATTTCTCACCAGACCTTGTTTGCCATGTGCGCCGCGCCCTATTTGCTCGGTACGACCACCATGGGTCCACGCATCGAAGACCGCCTATAGATCGTCAGGTACGTCCGGCTTGGGTACCCGCCCGCAGCGCAAAACAGGTTATCGCATCCAACTTCACCGTTGACGCCCATGGTCGTTGCCAGTCCTTGATGCGATTTCGCCTCGATGCAGACAAGCCGGGATAGCCCACACCTGTCAAAAAGCAACACTTGTCACTACGCCACACCCGCCACACGATGATCTCGCCACACTTTACATTGCGAGCAACACACGTCGACGAGATTCGCCGGATCGCCCTCACTATCTACCTTCCTCTTTTGTATGATCGACTTTGATTCCCGCCACCTGTACAGCACATGGAAAAGCTAGGATATTGCCATCGCTGGTCCGTCATTGGGCCAGACCACTCACTTTACAGCATTACATGCTGATCGCGAACGTCAATCTCAGAATGAGAACTAGATGTTATGTCAGGCATATACTGCTGCCTCACAACACATGCAACGTCTAGATTTCTACCAAGGACGGCCACTGCCTGCATATGGTCTACGAAGAATGCCATTGTAGGTAATTTGGACTACTGCTGAAACATACGACCTCGTAGGCCGACTGCTAAAGAGCATGAGGAAGCTGTATCGACCAACCAGAAAGAGTTTGACTGACGGCTCTAGCAGCTGTCAGGTTCAACAACAAGGGATTCCCATGAAGACGATGTCGAGTGGTCGAATGATCCGTCGTATCCAGTATGCAGGGCACCTGCCAGTGGTACTGCCGAGGACCAGAGCTCCTCTCGAGTCTTTACCAAGAGTGAGAGCCACCTTCTTCGCCAACAGCAAGGTGTATTTGATAAACTGTGTAGGTTGGAGATGTTAAAGCCGTCAGCAGGCAGGTAACGGTGAATCATCTGACCTTTGGCTCAACACTGTATGTGATACGTTCCCCGAAAACTGGCTTGGCTTGAGTCTTGACTTCGATCTGATTATTACACTGATCCATTGGCGGCTAAGCCATAGAATTGGGAAAGGGCTTAGCGCAAATACCGGAAGGTTGTGTAGCCGAGAGTGAACTAACTCATCTTGACCTCAGACGGGCCGTACCAAAGGGATCGATCTTGGTGTTGCACCACGCTTTACCAATCGTGGCCCACGAGCGGATCCTTACTAAGGACGATCACCCTTGGTATTCTCGTTCCAGCTTACGTGAACATATTCGAGCTGTGGGGGAAGGCTGCTCAGCCTCGCCCCTCAGACGTCTCACGTAGGTGAAGGATGGAGCTGGCAGCGATGCATTCGCAATCCCTCCCATCGATCAGATGGTTGCTCGTTCAAGTTAATCTTCAAGTTTGAAACGAAAACGTTCCAAACCACAATCAAATCATTGATCGTGGTACAATACCAGACACGTCCCGAGCATCCGCAGCACGCTGCCGCTGGACATATCCCGTTTATAACGCTCCGCATTGGCAAAGAACTCGTCAAAGGCCCTGTCGTCATAATGGAGCCGAACAAAGTTCCGCTCTTGTCAAGTTGCGGCGACGACTACAGGGCGGTGGAATCGGTCCGCAATCCTTCGACCTGTGTTCGCTAAAGACTACAGTCCTGCGAACCAGTCCTACTAAAATTGTATAGTCTAACGCAGCAGACTTTCTTCTTGTCCGCTCACGTCACTCGTGAGCACATTTGATGCTTTCTCAAACGAGGCAACATATGTTGACAAGTCGCACAATCACCGAATATCCTTACTGTTAGACAGATATGTCTAGGACCCAGGAGATACCCCACACTCTGACATCGAGTTCTGCATGCGTTGGAACAATATGCGCAGGATAGTGGAGGATGCCGATGCGGCAGAGCCGGGCATGAGGTCGGCATGAGGAAGGTCGCAAGCTGCACCGAATAAACGCGCAACCGATACTATATTTGAACTTCGCTTCCTTGTCAAGGAACGTTCAAGAGTAACAAGCTATGGTGTATGAGATTGCAGAGCGGTCAATACATCCTTGAGCCACCCGTGGCTGGCAGGATCTGACGAATGAGGTGCAGGTACGCGATTTGAGCTTACCCAAAAAGGTCTAGAGAGCTTTGCGCCGACCGCATCTCTGGTTTACAGCACCCAGGAACTACTGCTGCTTGCCCCATCTCTAATGCCGCTTCCCAGCTTTCGAGATCGCTGGCCGACAGGATGGGATCTTCGCTTTTGTTGCAACTCTGTCGTTGTTCTCACGATGCCCCCACTCTAATATGACTCATTGACACATACCTTCCGTCCCAAGGTTGATTTCAAGGCACATCTCGTATACCAAGCTGGCCCGTAGAGTACGGTCAACAACCCTCTTGTCTCACTGGCTGTCCCCGCGAAAAGGATTAGCGGTGAGCCTCTAGATCAAGAGCTGGAATGTAATGTCCAGAAGGTAGCCTAATGATACATGCGCTATTTGTACAAGCCCACCCGACAGAGCGTTATTGACACCTCAGCCCAACGGCAAGACTACAACGGCTCGGTCATCCCGCGCCGGCTTTGGTGCATGCAGGTACTGTGTAGAACGGATTCTCACCTCAACTGAAAACTCCTTAATACTATGTACAGGTACTCGGATAGCAGTCACCAATAGCGTTTGTTGGAGCGTACTGACGAGTGAGCCTCAGAGTAAATGGTCTTTCTTACCGCTGTGAGTCTCTATGTAGTAAATCCTATACGCTAGTTCAACGTTCAAAGCTCCATTATAACTGGCGGGCCGAGAAAATGCAAGATGACAAGCGTCAAAACTGGTTAGCTTTGCGCAGCTACTCACCGAACATCATGAGCGACCCTCTTCGGTGCTTTTCGAAACTTCAGCCGCGCCCTTTTGCACATGAACCCTTCATATCAGCGTCATCATTTTAATGAAAGACTCCACTGCTTCGAGGCCACCACTTCTCATCGGCTTGGCTTGAGTATGCTGGTGGGGTGGATCATTCAACGCGCTCCTTCATCAGGCATTACGTTTTGCGGCTGAGAGACGGATCCCTTAAAATCACGTAACTATAGAGATGCTGACTATGAAACAGCCTAACAGATGGAAATGAAGTTCCTGTACTATAGTTCTACATCCATACGCTACTTCCCAGCACCAAGCACGTCTCCAGCCGGCCCATCATCCTTTACAAGACACCCGTCTTGAACACATGTAACAACTGCGAGTCGCGACCACTCCAACGCAAAATTTCCATCAACACTGTCTCTACCGCTCCAGAAACTCTCTCAAGAAGGCACCGCGTCAATAAAGATCATCTCGCCAGACTCCTTAATCCCACTGCGACTTCATCCCTAGAAGCATGTCTCGAGACCAACAACCCAGCCCTCAACAAGCCACCTCGAAAAGGGAATCCGTCGTAACTGGCGACGATTCTCTAGAAGCCGGACCAAACGACTGGTCCGACATCAAAGACCCGAACGAAAGACGCAAGATACAAAACAAACTCGCCCAAAGAAGATTTCGTTCGTAGCACCAATTGTAATAGCGATTCGGTCTACTCTAATACAAACCAGGCGACAAAGTAAAAGAGCAGAAAGAGGAGACGGAGCGAGACGATGAGAATCAGCGACAAGCTGGAAGCGCATACGCATCGCCTGAACCAGAGAAGATGGATGCAAGACAGGTGCTCTCGGGTCTGCCGTGGGGTGGCATCTCTATGAGACATATTGTTGAGACGGGGAAGAGTAAATAACAGAATTCACGGCGCAACTCTCGTGAGAGTTCGACACATGATGGCGCGTCTTATACTGGCTGAGGGAGCCTTTGACCATTGTATGGGACAAGATATCGTATTCATATGTGGTGCTGGTAACTACTGATGCCTACTTATTAAAGTCCTGTGCTTCGCTGTCATGTGTTCGTCCTGCTCGTAAAAAGGCTTCTCTACTATCATACATTTTCATGTCCTGCATGGTACACCCC